ATATAATTTTTTTTTTCATTCATTTTTCATTTGTTTATTCATTTATTGAACATCCATGCATCTCCTACTGTGAGGTTTCTTAGTGCTGTGCTACTATTGCCCACTATATACTGAGAGCGCTGCAGCCAGGACGGATCCCGACAATACTGTTGAGATCCACCCAGCTGGCTGATTGACAGCTGGCTCTGCCTATCTAGAGGCAGAGCCAGCTTTGCTGCCCCCTCCCCTGTCCATTCCTCCAGTCAGCACTGGAGGATCCGAGAGGGGAGGGGGGGGAATCCCTGCGGGGAGCAGTGACTGACCGTCACCGCTCTCTGCAGTGAGATGATGGGGAAGTAAGCGAGCTATGGTATGTGATCGCTCACTTCCCAATCAATAGACAGTTTCAATGTCGCACGTTGGCTCCAACTATGAGGTTGAGTCACTCACCTCATAGTTCTCCTTTAAATCTTAAAATTGCATTCATGTACCTTAACTATTAACAAAAATGTAACTGATTTGTGTATCACTCGGCTGTAGATCCTCAAATCATCTCTGAATTGGTGCCGACACTGTCCTTCCTTTTGGAGGGTGGTTACTTCTGTACTCCAACCTCGCTCCCGTGATAGACTGCAATCTCACGTTTAGTTTACTAATTTGTAGTGAGATTGTAGTCTATCACAGGAGCGAGCTTGGAGCGATGACTACTTTACAACACACACAGGGACCATGGGAACAAAAGTAGCCACCCCCCAGAAGGAAGGACAGTGTCAGCACCAATTCAGAGATGATTTGAGGATCTACAGCTGAGCGACACACAAATAAGATACATTATTGTGAATATTTTGGGTACTTGAATACATGTTTAAGGTTTAACGCCTGAGTTTATTTTCACTTGAATTTCAACAATATACCATGTAGATAAGCAGAATGGCTTTTCAATTATTACCAATAGTGTACAGAATGTTGAATGCCATGGTCGGTTAGCCCAAATAATTGCACTATATGGCCAAAATTTTGTGGACACCTAATCACCACAACTACCGTTTTTTACCAAAGTATGTGGACACCCCTCCAGCCTATGGGGTAAATGATACAGCATACAAGACCATCTAAGACAATTGTGTGCTTCCATCCTTGGGGCAACAATTTGGGTAGGGCACTTTTTCTGTTTCAGTAGGACTGTTCCCCGTGCACAAAATTAGGTACATAAAAACATGGTTTGACGAGTTTGATGTGAAGAAACCTGAGTGACCTATACAGAATGTTGGCCTCAACCCTATTGAACACCCTTGGGATGAATTGGAATGCCAACTGTGAGCCAGGTCATCTCGTCCAGCATCAGTTCTAGACTTCACAAATGCTCTTTTACCTAAATGGGCATAAATTCGCACACATTACAACAATTTACCTTTTATCTTGTGAAACGCCTTGCCAAAAGTGTTGAAGCTGTTACTGTACAGTCACAAATGGGGTGGGGGCAACTCCATATTGTCAATATTTTTTGGATTGGGATGTTCAACAAGTTCAAGTAGGTGTGGCGATCAGATGTTCACATATGTTTGGCCCTATAGTGTAAATTTGTTTGATGAAGTGCTTGATTTCGGATTGTGCTCGAACCTATGTGAATTATGCTATTGAAATGAGACAATGTAATGTCATAAGTAAACAGTGTGCAAAATGCAGTAACAAGTCAGCTGTCATATATTGCGCTGGCTGCTCTAGATCCTCATCATGTAGATAGTGTCTGCCTCAGTAAATCCTGAGCAATATACCTAAACAATTGGGAAAAGGATCTGTGTGTACTGTACATACCCAATGCCAAGTTTTGTGTAGTAATACATATAAATAAATACCCCTTTCAGCAATTCCCTTTAATTTGTTTACTTTGAGCAAAACGTAATTAATTTTAGTGTATCTGTGTGTGTTTTAGTATTTTATTTGGTACATATCAGTTGCCCTATAATGCTACCCAATATTACTACTACTTTTCAGACTGGAGAAGTTCTCTATGAGTTCCACGGGCACACTCAGAAGATTACAGCTATAGCTGTATTTCCAACCAGTGAATCGTATCACATGAAGACTGACCTGATACTTACTGCATCGTCTGATAAGACTGTAATTGTATCCTTAAAGCTATTTAATCTGCTTTGTATTTTGTCTTTCCTAGTTCGACTTTCCCTCTTTCATCAACATTCATTCAAAACCTTTCTGTTTTCAATACATACCATATTTTAGACCCAGTGACATCATCAATGGGTCTCTGTGCTACTCTATGCAATGCAGGCAGATCATGGCTAGTGGGAGGGGCGACAGGGTGCTGTACATAGCTTCTTAAAATTATCATAGCACCCTGCCCCAGTACTGCTCATACTCTTCTCTAGAGCACTCAGCTCTTATGCTACCAGTGAGTTGACTCTTGGGAGGAGTTATGCAAATATCAAAATGCCTTGATGGGTAGGTGTCAGTCTGGAATGGTGGGTGTTCCTATGCAGGCGCACTTGCATGAAGACTGCCCTGTGTAACATACTCCCACATGTGATGCTGAAACTCCACGATTGAAAGAGCTGAAATGCAATGAATAAGACTGTGAGAAGTTTACAATGTGCAGCTAAATAAATTAATCAATTTCAGAGAGTAGTCTGTACGACTGCAATACTTAATTCAAGGCTGGAATTCAGCTTTAATTAAATATAGCATTATACAGGAATAAAACCAGAAAAGCTTCAAAACCTTCCAATATGAATTATTAAAATGTAGGAGTTTGACACTGATTTTTGTCACCTATTGGGTCTTCCAAACCCCCTAGTCTCCCAACCATTTATCACGACAGCCATGAGATGTGTGCAGCCTGGTTATATGCAAGGCAGTGGTAGTAGCAGTGGTCTCACTGCCTTGCTCCTGCCCCTGCCCCAGGGCTGGCACGTTACTGGTTATAGATGGAGAATCCAAGAATAGCTGCGTAGCACCACTGCAACACTAGAACCCAGGATAAATGTTGTCATTGGTGTAGTTTATATTTTATGCCCTCTGTCAAAATAATTCCGAATTTGTTTTCCATTTTTGCAATCTTTTTTTAGGTCCTGATCATAATAAATAAAGATATTATATATTGAACCCCTACAGATTCTCCTTAAAGAAGAAGTCTCTAAAAATGACAAACAATATATATAGCAGTAACTGAGCTCAGCTCTTTGAGAAGACAGGCCCACGTGCTCTATTCACATTAATTTGTTTAATTTTTCCTGCACCATAAAACTAGAAAAAGACTTGAGTATTTGTATGTCTCTGGCCATGCGTTTTTTAATCATTTAAAAAAAATATCATGTGAAATAATCATGTCACATAATTGTCCTCGCATACATTCCTTAATAGCTCAAGTCAGGCTTGGGATTGTGAAAGTGGACTGCAGTGGCAAAAAGCTTCAAATTTCCATTCTACTGTAAAGGTAAGTTCAAAATGCTTTCTATTAGAATATTTAAACAAAGTGTCCTGGTGAATGTTGAAAGAGCTCCAAGGAGTCACCGCTCTATTTCAACCTTGGCTTCAGTAAATTCACACCCTGGGTACAGGCTGTAGTGTGCCTCTCACTTCCCAAATCAATCTCTAAAAGATCAGCCGCAACAAAGACCAGGGTACGCGTGGTGTGGGAGACACTCCTGGTGATGTGCATGCTGATCACTCTACTGCTGATCTACTCTTTTGGATCCGTCTTTTTGGAATTTGCTTGGAGTCGTTTTAATATACTGTATCTTGGACAACACTTACCCTGGTCTTTGTGCGGCCGATCTTTTTCAGATAAAAGTGTCTTGGTGAGTTAGGATACTTCTGCCAGCCGCTGTGGTTTCGATGGAGTGTTGGTGGGTTGAATCATCTTTCAAGTTCCTTATATCAATATCTCCAGTTTATACATTTATCCACAATAGTTGACATCTTCGCTTTGCACCAAAACCTTCTTTCCTTGGTAAATCACTTTAAAAAAGTTTCAGTAGCTTAACATTTTTCAGTTTGATTTTTACCTCTTCATTCAATATATACAGGTGAAACTTCAGCCTGTGGCACTGCTGAGGTGTTATGGAAGACCAGGATGCTCCAATAGCGGCCTTCAGCTCTTCTGCATTGTTCGGTCTCATGTCTCTCATCTTTAATTTAGTGAAATAAATGAACTTTTGCACGATATTCTAATTATTCGAGTTTCACCTGTAAGAAATATCTAAACTCTTGAGTAAACTGTTGCGTAGAGCAAAGACCCACCTATTTAGATTTAATTGCATTATAGATGGAATTTATATCTATTTCTGTTGCAATATTTTTATTAAAGTATTAAAGTTTATATTAACATTAATGAACGTTTCTGGCATCTCCAAAAATACAGTATTGTGAAAGGGACTAACAATCATACAGAAGTTGGTATACAGAAGTGTCTCACAAGGAGCGCAATTTGCTATCCAAATCGTAATCTATATCAATGGAAAAGATGCAATACCGGATTCCATCTTCAGATAGTGCTTCTGGTACATTTTTGCTCCAGGAAAACTGAGTATATCCTATCATTATGTTATATTTTCCCAGTCCCTCTGTTTTTTCTTGTCTGTGAGGTTTCCCTTCCTTGTTCCCAGTCATTTTTATCAACTTCAGGACACCCTATAAATATTGCAGACCTTGAAGTACTTTTGGTGTCACCACTTATGCCTTTGTGCTCCTAACATCCACTCCATGCCTGTTATATCTAACACTCAAAGATGAGAACTGCTGATAGTTGGGATTTAGGCATCCATGTTGCACATTGACATTATCCATGGAAAAGAAATCCCTCCCTTGGCTTGGCTATTTTAAGATATTGGGGGTTCTGTAGAGCAATAAGTGAGCCTGAGTTCTCAACTGTTTTTATGGTATTCGGAAGAGGTGTATTAGCAGCTGAGTATGATTGGGTTGAATAGTAGGAGGCCTTTGTCATGTTTAGGGCCGGTTCACACCACAAACTCCGCATTCCAGTGCGTTCAGCCTCTGGAACACACTGGAACGCAAGCCGGCCGGCTCCCTGTGTTCAGGGGCTGTAGGGGTTGTGGCGGTGCATTGAAGTCAATGGTACCGCAGCCACGCCCCCTGCCCACAGTGTGATCGCCCGCACCCTGAACTAGTGCTTGCGTTCCGGTTCAGTGCGCTCTGCAACAATAGTGCTTGCAGGGAGCCCGCCGCCATGCGTTCAAGAGGCCGAACTCACTGGAACGCAGAGTTTGTGGTGTATACCGACCCTTAGGGTAGGTCAGCAGCGGTCAGTTCTCACATTCCCATTAGAGATACAGTTGGTGGTAGATATTGTACTGTGTAATAAAATGTTATACTTTGTTTATAAAAGCAATATTCATACCCTCCTATCATTTATAATACAGGCCTTGCTAATTGTGCAAAGCTTGGATGTGTGGCTTTCTGGTGGCTCTGAGTTCCGGGTGTGGAATCGCAATTTCAACCTTTTGGGTGAGGCAGGATTCTTTTCTGACGGAGGTTAGTAAAGCAAAGGTGTTGTTAACATCTGCCATGCTTTTTATTTATTTATTTATTATTACAGGTATTTATATAACCCCGAGAATGTGCACAGTGCTTCGCTATTTATTCACATCAGTCTCTGCCCTCGAGAACCTAAGGTCCCTATTTCACATGCATGCACACATACATGTACACACTTACTAGGGACAATTTAGACAGGAGCAAATTACCCTACCAACCTTTTGGAATGTGGGAGGAAACCATTTTATCCGGAGGAAACCCACGCAAGAACAGAGAGAACATGACAACTTCATGCAGATAGCGTAAGAGATTCCAACTGAGGATCCTAGTACTGCAAAGCAGATGTGCTAAGCATAAGAAACTGTGCAGCATTATCTTAAAGGAAAGCTGCACTGAGAGAAGTCAGGATTCTTCTATTTTTGATCACCTTCTGAAAAAGCTCTAATTGCCTGGCTGTCATAATGGTCTTCTGACTTCAGTACTCTCAATTCCATGATGCTGAATGAATACGAAGTTAAAGTGAGGTCTAAACTCTTGACTTGCATGTGTGTTCTAGGTTAGGGACTTGGAAAGTATTAAAGTCAGTAAATTATCGTGCTGCAGGTTTGAAGTGCAGGTAACTAGAGGTATTTGTATGTGCAAGTAAAATATTAGTAAATATAATAAAACATTTTGTAAATATGTCATTGTTTTGCCAAGCCTTACAAGAAATAATAAAATTATTATGAATAATATAATAATAAAATTTTTATGAATAACTGCTTACATATGTCTGTATTTTATTTTAGTATTTATTGAAAAAAATTTTAAAGCCCAACTCCAGGATTAGTGGCTTATCTCATGTAGTACTTATGCCTGCCCACAAATCCAACGCATGTAAATCTTTGTACTTACCAGCTTCAGAGAAGAGATAAGTAATATTTTACTACCTGTGATGTCATCATTCAGCCTCCGCTAAGTTATAATCGGATGCCTTGAGAAGGGTCTGTGTAGCAGCATCCTGCCATTTTCTCCTGTGTTATACGACTACTTGTCCCATTATTCGTGGTCACTGTGTCCTGTCTTTGGACGGAATGGCAGTCGGAGGTGTAAGTGGAGTGGTGTACTGGAGTGGTGTACTGATTTTCCACTGAACTCTAATTTTCCCACCCTCCAGACTATTCACGCTGACATGTTTACCTCACATAGGATATCACTGTATGTATAGGGAATATGATTTGTCGGAAGGCACAGAGGAAAAAGGTACAATATTGCCAATACACTGACTGATACATTTAGATGTGTCCATGGAGTTGGGCTTTCATTAGATCAGAACATCACCAAAATCTGAATAGGATCACAAGGCTTTACTGTGTTCTGGATGCAGCTAGTCGCTGTGGCTTGTGTAACAGGATCAATTGTTGGCCATACCCAGACAGATGCAATTTAGGTGTATCTCCAGCCAAAATGGTTTTTCAGTTTTGGATACATTGGGGAGGGTTTAAAACGTGTTCACAGCTTTCTCTGCCACTGCTGGGGAGATTTCCCTTCACTTCCTGTCTGGTGATACAGGTAATAATAAAATCATTTTTGTTTTTATTTTTAGTAAAGTACAGAAATGCTAGAACTTCCTCAGCTTTTCATTGCTGTCTGTATTTCTCTTGGGGATTCTCTTTTATATCTTGTCTTGGTTACAGTTTTGTCACCAGGGCAGGAAGTGAAAGGAGATCTCCCCAACCAGCTTCCTCAAAGCAAGAAGTGTTTACCTTTCTATACTCTAGCAAAAAATAAAAGGTTTAGCTTGAGTTACAGTTTAAGTTCAAATTCTGAAACCAGAGACCGATACTGGGATGACATATAAGATAAGTACTTAGGGGCCATAACTATAGGTGCACCAAAATGAAAATGTCAAAACCGAAACTAAACCAAAATAAAAAAAATGTCAGGCCGAACCGAAAATGTTTTTTATTGTAACTTTTTCAAATATTTTATTTTTATTTGTTATACATTTTATTTTTTTTCATATATATTTTTATTTATTCATTTTTTATTAAATATTTTTTACTTTACTTTTATGTGCTTCGGGGAAATAGACCCCTGATATTTCCCTTTTAAAATAGAAAAAGAGATTGAGGACACAGTCCTCAATCTCTTTTTCTGCAGCCCCTGTTATAAATGAACAGGAATCCTCTGAGTGTTCCTGTTCATTGATAACATGAGAACAGAGTATGTTTACTATAACCACAACTATGAATGAACAGGAGGTGATGTAGATCACTTCCCATTCATTCATAATTGGGGATATAGTCAACATATTATGTCCTCAATTATTTACAAACACTCAGCGATCACTGATCACTAAGTGTTTGTACTGCTTTCCTTCCTGACCGCTGTCACAGGAGGCTGAGCCAGCGGTGTGGGGAGGAGAGCTCAGCCTCCTGTGACCGTACTGCATGCTGTCTCCGCCCACACACCGCTCTTCCGATCTGTGACAGGAGGCTGAGCGTTGCGGGGAGGAGAGACGCCGGCCGCTCACAGCGCTCTCCTCCCGCAGCGCTCGGCCACCTGTGACAGTTTCTCTCCTCCTCACTGGGATACAGAGCAGCGCACAGCGGGGAGGAGGGAAATCACGGATGCACCGCTGTATCAGCCAGAAAATGCAACTTTCTGCATTATCCAAAAAGTGCCATTTGCGGCCGATATGTTTCGGCGGCCGATATATCAGTGCATCCATAGCCATAACCCTATGATATGTACAGGGAGGGCAGAAGTGATTTACTCACTTTGGAGTTTGCCTTTCACCTTTGCACATGGATAAACAGACTTGTAGTTTGCAGTGGCAAGAAGGAATAATGTTTACTTAAATCCCAAAAGCTTATCACTTAATTTTTTCTGTCTTCTAAGGTATTGTAGCGTTGATTGAACTTCCCAAGCATTGTGTGGCAGCCGCAGTTGGAAAAGATTTGAGTGAGTTTTTTTTTCTTTTTTCTTTTGACACAAAGTAACTTTCAGGTTTGTGATTAACCCTTTCGCTGCCAAGCCCTCCGGAACATTTTTCAAATCAGCTGGCCAAGCCATTTTTGAATTTTCTGCAATTTTTTCCTATTGATTTGATTTTCAACTGCTGCGTTGCTAGCGTTTGTAAAAGACCCCCCAAACCATATATTTTCTGAAAGCGCAGGCCCGGTAGAATAAAAAGATGGTGATACTAAATTTGTAGGCCCTGCGATAATTGCGCAAATGTTTCTCAAATTAATATTAAACCGATAAAAATACACAATTCAATTGTTAAAACACACCAAAATCAGTATCCGTGCACAAAAAAAAATATTTTTTGACTAAATCTAAAAGATAAAACTGTATTGAGTTAATAAATAACAAATATTAGCAAATTTGTAATTGCGCCTTTTTGCGAAAAGGTAAAAAAATGAAGGTATGCAAAACTGTAAATAATCGACTTATGTAAAAAATTGTTTTGGTGTTTGTGTTGTGATAAAATGATACAGGTGTATATTTAATTGCAACACAAGGTATCACAACGCATGGCAATGAGTCACAAAGCTTTGCCATGCGCTGCCACAGTTAATTTAATGTTTTTTTTTAAAGAAAAAAAATAAATAAAAAAGATCATGCACTGCGATGCGTTCTAACAACGCACTGCAGCGCATGTGCATGGTGTGCACCACAATATGTGTGTGTTATGTGGGGGGAGGAGGGGTTGTGCTTTTTTTATGGCATACTGACCTGGCCAGCTGGAAGCACTTTTGTAGGTCCGTATGCCATACGTCCTTGGCAGCGAAAGGGTTAATGGAGCACTAAACCTAATGCAGAAGTGGAATTAAAGTGGATTTCCACCTTTTGCTGCCAAATTGTGATGTCATCTCATTTAAATTTGTTATGTATTCCCATTGACGTAGCATAACTTCAAAAAATATTTTAAAATTGCTGCTTAAATTTCTTCTTGCTCTTTTCTTAAAGTTTAAGAAAAGAGTCTTCTTCCTCTCTTCTGTTTAATGTTGAGGAGGGGGCTAGGGAGTTATAGTTACTATAATTACCCTTGCTGGCACTGTTCTGGCAGATCTTCATTATCAGTTGATAGTTAAAGGGTTAAAGATGTCAAGGTTTGGAATCTGCATTGTAACACACTTCTAATCCAATGTATCCCTTCAAGTATCCCTAAATAAGCATATTGCAAATTATTCTGAACAACAGAAGCAGCCTATAGTGTATAGACCTGCTCCAAAGAACAACTGAGTAGGTAAGAAATATCATTTGTATAAATAATTTTTAGGTATTCAGTTAGAGGGGGATTCTCAAATTTGGCTGCAAATGTGGAAATACACTCTTCAAAGCTCAGTGTACACATTTGGCATATGCTGGGTGCCAGGATGAATGAACGCCTGTGCTCATGCATGGGAGCTGCATCCTCCTGGCCTGGCTATTCAAGAGGGCCGAAGCCGGCAAGGGAGCTCATGGATGTTGGATCGCTGAACCGAAGTTCCACATTATTAAATCATAGGCAGCAGTGCGCTCTAGGCGGCTGCCTAGTTTGCCTAGTGGCAGCACCGACCGTGGCTGAGGGCCATCTCTTGTTTCATGTTCTCTGCCATTATAAGCAAGAAAGTGCGTAACACCTGGCCTTCCTTGCATGATTTAGAGCTGAAACACCGGAACACTGCTGAATACAAAGTGGAAATGCATATATGAAAAACTACTTATCTGATAAAACATGTGTAAGGCCCTTGAGTGGTGACATAGCATCGGGTAAACCTCCATGTCATTGTATGTTGTTAGCTTGCCATAGGTATCCTGGACTGCTGTGAAGATTGGGTAGGAATGGGTGGTGAGGGGCTGGTTACTTTCTCTGGGATCTGATGTCTGAAAAAGCCCATAGCTGATCCTGTAGTGTCCTCATACTGCTCCAGACATAGGAGGCATGAAAGCAGGTGGGGGGTGATATTTAGACTGGCAGCGCTATGCACCCCTAAAGCACTGGCTGGTCTCTTTGCTTGATATCTGCACACAATATGTGGAAAACTCAACACTGTTATCGAAAAGATATAATACTTTTCTCTGATACTACAGTTCGAATCCTGAGGCAGAGACTCATTAAAGGCAGACAATAATAATAGCGGAAGTGGGCTAATAAACTGAATGATCTACTGCATATCTCTTGTAAAGTTGGGAGGTCTAATTTTCAGCCCTCCTCCCTAATTTTTTTAGCCATGCTTCACTTGCCCAATTAGAGAATCCTTATCAACCTCTCCGGCAATATCAATAGTTAGGAGGATGGTGTGCGGGCAGAGAGATTAGCTCGAGGAGTTATAGCTTGGTATGATGAGTTTTAGTAACAATGTGTCAGTCAAAAAAGCCCATCTCATGTTTCAAAGGTAATAGAAGGCACCTTTTCCTGCCTAGTTATTGGCAGGACTTTTTAGCAGTGTAAGCAAGGTGGCACCCCAATGCACCTTCCCGATTCATCTGCATTGCAATGCACCCCAGACTCGGTAACTCACTTTTGTGTGGTGCACTGACCAGATATGCTTCAGGTCTGGTTTTCGGTCTGTTAGTATGCATTTGCAGCCCATTCACATGAATTGGCTGCTTTAATACTATGCATGTTAATCCATGAATCAGCACACTGCCCTCATTTTAATGGGTCCTCAAAATGTAATTTAACCTTTTATAAAGTACCTGCATTTACATAGAACAGAGAGCTCGTCTCCATTCCACAGAAACAAAATAATGCATTTCTGGTTTTGTGTCCAGTTACAAAGTAAGTTTGTTTAGAAATATTATATTTATGTATGTCTGGCATTACTGTTTGTAGCTTTTGTCTTTTTTTTTCTCTTTTAGTAATCTTTAAAATAGGCACTACGGTCCCGGGATTGGAGAAATTGGATATTTTTCAAATTAAACGCCTTTCAGGTCACCAGGACGTTGTTCGGACTGTGATAAATGTCAATGGTTAGTATTCTGTCTTGTCTTTCTTATCTACTTTATCCTGTGTACTTTCAAAACATTTTAATATCTTAATTAGTGTAATGTAGGTGTGAGATGCTTTAAAACACAAGTGTATTGTTGTATTTTTCATAATAGTTTTTAATGTCTAACGTCTAATGTTTATTCATTATTTCTTTTTAAAAATGGTTGTCATGTTACAGCAGAAGCCCAGACTGGCAGGTTAGTTGTCCTTCAAGAGTGAATGTTCCTATCAAAAATCTTTTTCCTTTTTTTTGTTTTATTGTTAGTGTTATAGAAAGCAGTGGATTTTAGTACATGTTTATGCATTTTGCCTGTATTGCTAATCACTGTATAATGCATGGCAATGTGTCCAGTGTGCGTGAGCCCTTATATAGTTACTGCCTGCTATTAGTTTTATAATTTTGAGGGCTGCAGGTGTAACATGTATTTCTTTCTTATCCATTGATGGACATGGGAAGTCTATTTACCGTAATTTTTTGCCAGTGTTAAATCTTCCTGGAATTATAACCTGAAAGTATATGACTTTCTGTGTCCTTCAGTGGACTCCAAGAAAAGGATTTCACAGTGACAAATTGGCAAAAATGTACCTTATGTGTGCGTCATTCAGCTGTAGATCCTCAAATCATCACTGAATTGGTGCTGACATTGTCCTTCCTTCTGGAGGGTGGCTACTTTTGTTCCTCATGGTCCCTGCGCATGTTGTAAAGTAGCCACCGCTCCAAGCTCACTCCCGTGATGGACTACAATCTCAATACAAATTAGTAAACTAAACGTGAGATTGTAGTCCATCACAGGAGTGAGCTTAGACCAGTGGCTACTTTATAACACACACAGAGACCACGGGGAACAAAAGTAACCACCCTCCCGAAGGAAGGACAGTGTCAGCACCAATTCAGAGATGATTTGAGGATCTACAGCCGAGTGATAAACAAATATTTTGCTATTATGTTAATAGTTAAGGTACTTGAATGCATTTTTAAGATTTAACTCCTTAGTTCAGTTTCACTTTAAAGAAAATAATTTGATAGTGAGTACAAAATCAATTGTTGTTGCTGTTGGTTGCGGTACCTACAGTGCATTCAGAAAGTATTCAGACCCCCTTCACTTTTTTCAATCTTGGTTTGTTGCAGCCTGATACTACAGTTGTTTAATTTTTCTCATTAATCAACACTAAGTACCCCATAATGACAATGTGAAAACAGAATTTTAGAAATGTCTGTGAATTTATTAAAAAGAAAAAACTGAAATATTACATGTACTGAAAGGGTTATTAAACCCTCAGTGTGTTTTTGCATATATCTAAGGCTAGCAAGCAGTAGATATATGCAAAAACTTTTTTTTAAAAACCTCTTCAAACAGGTTTAAACGTGCCCGTGTCCTCCCTGCGCGTTCCCGTCCGAACATCTGAAGAGTCTTAGACGGCCGCAAAGGATCTTGGGGTGAGCGCATTTGCAGTTCAGATGTTCGGCCGGGAGACGAGGAGAGACACAAGGTAAGTCGAGGAGAGGAGGACAGAGGAGTCAGAGCTGGATCAGAGACCAGCACCAGCGCTGGAGGGACATCGGAAAACGACAGTAAGGAAGAAGATGATCGCATTAAGAGACATGATTTAAGGTAAGTCCTTGCACTAACATTGGGTGGAGGGAAAACAATATCCTTTAATGTCACTTTAAGTATTCAGATCACTGGACCCGGAAGTGATGTGCATTACACCACTTCTGTTGTCACTGTTTACATTCTCCGGTTCCTAGAGCTAGGAGAAGAACCTGGTGAGCAGATTGCTGCTTCATCAGCTTCTTCGGGGTCCATAGGTGACATTAGGGACCTGTCGCATCATATTTGCTATTACATAGGAGGCTAGCCCCCTTGTTAGCCCCCTATGTGATAGCAATAAAATTAAGTGTAAAAAAAAAA